TTATGATGGTAATGGGTAAATCCAAATTCATGTTTTTCTACCTTCACCCCGCATAAATCCTCTTTGGAGTTTTCTTGGAATCTCTTTGTAAGACTAAAGGAGTCATGAGACAAGTTTGAGAGCTGATGGCTTCCAGAATACATGCTTAACTTGTCACTGTCTGGCCTTAAGTCATATTTTACCACTTTAATATAGTACAGGAAACTAACAAGGTTGTTTTTCTCTTCTTTGTGTTATTGTTGTCACATATTTTACATATATTAAAAAACCCTACAGTGCAGTTGTATTTTTTTTTCTTTTAGCACGTTAAGGCCGTGCTCTGACATCCATTGATTCATATATCTAGCTCTAATTCCTCCCCTAAGGAAAAGGGAATGCCCCCAAAAGAATATTAAGGACCTTGTGTTGTAAATCAGCAGATATCAAAATCTGTGGCTGCTCAAGTCTCCAATATAAAATGGCATAGCATTTACACATAATCCATGCACACCTTCTGTTCTCCACTCGGAATTTTGGGCATGCAGGAACACGCACCTCCACCATGGAGTCCGCCATGTGGTTTCCAGCCTTAACCACCACACCATCAACTGGCCCTCAATTTATGTAACATTCCTGAAATAACAAAAATATATGGACGAAGAGCAGATTAGTGATAATCAGGAGTTTGATTGAGGGGAGGAGACAGGTGTGGCTACAAAGGAGTACCATGAGGAAAGTCGTGGGTCTGGAAGAGCTGTGGATCTTTATTGTGACAGTGGTCACCTGAATGTACACATAATAAAGTCGCATAGAACCTCACACACACAGACGAGTGCATGCAAAACTGCAGAAACTGAAGTAAGTGCTAGGGATGGCACCATGTTCGTTTCCTAGCTTAGGTACTGTGTGCAAGTATGCACAATATGATCACTGGGAGAGACTGGGTGAAGCATACATGGGACCTCCCTGTACATTTCTCCAGACTTCATAAATCCATAATTATTTAAAAATTTAAAAATAAGGGGCCAGCGTGTGGGGTGGTGGTTAAGGCGTTGAACTCCCACAGGGCTGATGGCTGTTCAAGTCTCAGACCTGGCAGCTTGAAAATCACATTGGGTCTGTGTGAACGCGTGCCCAAAATCCCAAGACGAGGGTAGAGGAGAAGGGATTTCATCATGGCCATTCCCCCTCGGGGGTGATTTCTCATTTTTACTCTCTCTCTCTCTGGTGAGTTGCATGCCCTATAGGAAAAACATTTAAAAAATTAAAAATATTTTGCAAAATTAAACAGAATTTTGTGTAAAACTAATAACTGTGAGCCATCTCCTTTGGCTCAGTTACCCATCACACGTTCATCTCCTGGTTTTTCTTAGCTCCTACCTTGAGGATAGTCCCTGTACTAATCTTGCATTTATCTTTTCCACCTTCTTTCTGCAGTACACACATTCAGAAACAGAGAAATTGTCTTTTAAAAATTATTTGTGAGAGTCAGAGTTTGCTAAGCATGGCTAGAATAAATCAAGTCAGCAGATGATAAATTATATACAAACTAGTGTAATGATTCGTAGTCAATAGATAACTGAGAAATTATGTTATTCTTTAAGAAAAAGCCAAAGAACAACGGATTTATACTGTCAGTACAGGTCTGCGAGGCTCACTTTTTCTTGTTGCTGAGCAGGAAGAGGGGTACGGCTACAGGGAAGCAATGCATTGACAGGTGGTGCTCGTTTCCTGGGGTGCAGCTCAAGTCCAGAGAGAATTTACGTAATAATGGTTAATTCGACAAGATAAGCACATGTTCAATGATTAAAAACAGGTGCAATTATAAAACCCATAGAATCAAACAAATTAGGCAATATGTTTTGCCTAGTGATGCTGATTTCAATATTTTTAGACAAGTCAGAGTACTATTGAGATGAATTTTCATTAGGTAATGACTCTATTAACTCAATAACTGATTTTTATAGTAATTGGTACCATCTAAAGTATGATTACTTTGAAATGTCTATGTCTTTATTTGGAAGTAGACATGTAGATTCTAAACTTCAAATGAAAACTAAATATGCAGATAGTTAGAAACAATTTTGAAAATGAAAAGTAATGGCAGTGAGAGGGAGACACACTATCACACATACAATAATTTAAAGTTGGGATACCTAGAAATAGTTTATAGCAACAAAAATGTCACTAGAGGGACCAGCAGTTAGCGTAATGGCTATGTCACTGGACTCCCATGCAGTCGACTGTGGTTCGCATCCCCGATCCGGTGGCTTAAAACTCATGCCAGGCACATGTGTGTGCGTGCCCGAGATCTTGAGAGGAGAATGGAGAAGGGATTGCAGCGTGGCCATCCCCCTTTGGGGGGGGGTTGATTTCTCACTTTCTGTCTCTGTCTGTCTGGCCAGCGCATGTAAAAAAAAAACCACAAAAAAAAAAAAAAAAAAAAAAAAAAAAAAAAAAAAAAAAAAAAAAAACAATGTAACGAAAGAGAGAAGAAGCGAGAAGAGAGAATTAGAAATAAAATAAATAAATAAATAAAATATTACATATTTCACTGCCAAACTACTAAGGTATTGCTAAAAGGGAGAAAATGATGGATTTTTCAGTAGATATTATTGGGCAAAGTGTCTAGCCACTTTAAAAAATTTTTTAACCCTTTACCTTACTCCTTAGATCCATATAGTTCCAAATGGTAGATTTAAATTATTAAAATTTTCAGAATTTTAGAAAATGTCTTCAGAAGGTCAGACCTTGTAGAGGCCCAGACTTCAGAAAATATAGTAAAGGTGAAAATGTTTGAAAAAGCAATAAGTTGGAATATATGAATGCAAACATGTCTACATGGCAAAAGTACCCATAAAAAGCCAAAAATCAAATGGCAAAATAAAATTAAAAAGTTGGAAATCTGGCCTAAAAAGTTGGAAATCTGGCCCAGCACATGACATGGAGATCAAGGCAGCTGAGTGCCACATAGCCAACTATGAGGTTCAAGTCCCAGACCCGATGGCTTGAGCATCAGCTGGGCATGTGTGTGCCCAAAACCCTGACAGGAGAATGGTGCAGTGATTGCAGTGTGACATGCCCCTGAGGGGTGATTTCTCTCTCTCTCTCTTTTCTGGTCTCTCTCCAGTGAGTGCACAGCACATGCGCCCCATAGAAAAAACTTTGAAAAAGATTGAAAATCTGAAGTCACATAAAATATGACTTTAATATATGAAGAGCTTTTGTAAACTGAAAGGAAGTTTAACTCTCCTAAAGAAAATTTCATCGAGGGACCAGCATTTAGCGTAATGGCTATGTCGCTCAACCCTCATGTAGTTGACCATGGTTCAAGTCCCAGACCCGATGGCTTCAACTCACGCCACGCACATGTGCGTGCATGCACGAGATCCAAGGAGAATGGAGAAGGGATTACAGCATGGCCATCCCCCCTGAGGAGTGATTTCTCACTTTCTGTCTCTCTGTCTCTGTCTTTCTTGCAAGTGCACACGCCCCATAGCAAAAACCTTTCCAAAAATAAAAAAAAAAGAAAATTTCATCTACAATATAATAGCTAATATTCATCATTAATATTCTAACTATTAATCTTTACTTTAGCTACAAAATCTGTAGTATTTTTTATCTGTTTGTTCATCTGTCACCCTCTTTGTCCATTTCAACATATGTTCTCACTGGTAGCTGAACAGTGGCGTAGCAGCACAACAGGAAACTATGCCAGGCAGAGGTTCCCCCACAGGAAAGTTGCAGGTTTGAGCCTGGAGCTCTCCCTGAGAATGCTGGGCACATGTGTATCCATGGCTCTCGCTGGCTCAGATCAGGGTATACTGAGGTGTGAAGACCCTATGAGGATGTTTTCTCTCTGTATCTCTCACTCCTGCGATAAATAACAAACTTTTTTTTTAAGAGAGATTTTTGCCATAGGACATGTGTGCTCACTGGACAGCCAGAGAGAAAGAGAGACAGAAAGTGAGAAATTACACTCCGTGGGAGATGGCCATACTGCATGCCTTTCTCCTCCATTTTTCTCTCAAGATTTTGGGCACACATGCACAAGCGCCCAGCGTGAGATTTAAGCCACCAGGTCTGAAACTTGAACCACGGTAGACTACATGGGAGTCCAGCAACATAACTATTAGTCCATCTGTTGTCCCCTAAGTAAATAAAATTTTTAAAAACTGATTCCCACAGAAATTCTTTAAAGTATACACTTTTTTCTTTTTCTTTTTTTGGAGAGATTTTCGCTATAGGGCATGTGCGCTCGCCAGACAGACAGAGAGAGACAGAGAGACAGAAAGCGAGAAATCACCTCCTGGGAGGATGGTCACGCCGCATTCCCTTCTCCTCCATTCTCCTCTTGGGATCTTGGGCACATACGTACATGCGCCCGGCGTGAGTTTTAAACCACTGGGTCTGGGACACAAATCGCGGTCGACTATATGGGAGTCCAGCGACATAGCCATTACGCTAACTGCTGGTTCCCTTGGTCTCAATTCTTGTAGCCAGGAATAAAATAAAATAAAATTCAGAAATGGATTTCTTAACATACACTTTTAATTCTCTACCCATCGCTTCAAGGAGGTCTAGACATGTGCATCTCTCAATGATCCCACCCACTTTTTTCCACCGGAGTTATAGTTCCTCTAAGATTTTATCTGCTGAGGTTCTTGTGTATTTTAATGAGAAACAAAATCCATTAAACCTTTGGCTTGGATTCACCTCCTTTATAACCTCTGCTTGCAGTTAAGCTTTAAAATTTATTCAAAGAACAGTGAAATAATTAAAAGTATAAGCAAGAGAAGATTTCTCTGATTTCCATCTTAAGCCTTATATACACTATGCCTATACTTTACACTTCATGTACAATATGTGAAGAATTTCCTTCCCTCAATCCTTATCTGATTGATAGATGGCAAGAATTGGGCACTGCGAATTTTACTTGTGGCCACTAGGGGGCAGTGGCTTCTTCCGTGAATGCCTTAAATTTCAAAAGCATGAGCATTTCTAGAAGACTTGCATTCCATTGGCAGAGCTACCAAAACAAAGTCTCTTTCAGGCAGTGGAAAACAAGAACTGAGACACAGAAACAGCTCCTCTCAGAAGAGAAGGTGTGGAGTCATTACAAAGTGTCCCAAGACTGAGAAATCAGGATGGAGGAAATGCTGGAATTGGCAGTCATGGTCCTGTGGCTGCAGCTTGGCTGTAAGTTGGAGGTTAAGAGAGGAGAACCATTAAGGGCATATTTATCCAAAGCTGAAGAGATTATGCGTTTAGTCTTGGCTCATTGCAGGTTTTCTGTTGCACTTTTACAAAACTACTGGACTAAAATCTTTATATCATTTCTGATTTTATTTTCCTGTACAGGGTTGAGTGGAGAAGACCAGGTGAAGCAGAGTCCTGAGATGCTGAGACTGCAGGAGGGAGACAACAGCAGCCTCAGCTGCAGCTACACTGTCAGCTATTTCAGAGGGGTACAGTGGTATAGGCAAGATCCCGGGAAAGGTCCTGAACTCCTCATTGCGCTGTATTCAGATGGGGATGACAAGTGGACAGGAAGGCTAAGAGCCACATCCTCGAAGAAGGAAAGCACTCTGCACATCACAGCCCCTATGCCTGAAGACTCAGCCATGTACCTCTGTGCTGTGGACACACAGTGCTCCCCGGGCACCTGCAGCTTGTGTCAAAGCCTGCCCATGGGGCTCTGACCTCTGAACTCAGGGTGAGGCAGCTGTTGGTTATTCTCTGTGAAAGAAAATGTACTCAAGGCTCAGAACCTCCTTGCAAGTGATTTTTATAGAAAATGAAATCTTGTGACAGAGCGGGATGGCCGAGATTGCAGCTCATTCTGTCCAGGTGTCCTAGACAGTGTCTTTGTGCCTGTGCACGGTCAGATCACTCTTTGTAACAACCCAGCACTTCTCTCCCATAAACCCAGACGGGACAGCTGTGATATGGAGTGTGGTTTCTGGTCTGGGGACACTTGGAAAGTGACTGCACAGATGCACACACTTTCCTGCAAAACAAACAAACACAATTTACATATGCGTGTTATCTCATAATAATCTGGCCATGTGACACCTCTTTTCCATTTAATGTAAGTATCCCATTGGTAGAACCCACATCTCCACCAGCCACATCTCTGTTGCTAACCTCAGTGATGTATTTTATGCTCTTTGCTATAAGCAGAACAATCTGTGCACAGCTTCCAACAGTCAGCGGTTCCTCGCCTTGTCCCAATCTTTTTTTTTTTTTTGAGAAGTTTTCATGCCTGGTGCATGTGCACACATATGAAAAATTGGGGGATTGTGAAAAATAATATGAAAAATAAGAAGGGATTGTGGCATGACATTCCCCGTAGTGGGTGCTTTCTCCTCTCACTTTCTCCTTGTCTTTCTCTGGCAGATGTACACACCCTCTAGCCAAAAAGTAAAAGTAAAAAATTAAAATCTGCCTTGATTTGGGGGTCTGGAGATAAGCTCATGTGTTTCCTCCTGAGGGATTATGTGCAATGCTAAATGACACAATCCCACTCCTTGGCCAATGATGAAAGATAAGAAGCGGACGTGCCCTGCTCCCCCTCCACGCTGGAGGATACGGTGCATGATGTTGTATGACAGTTTGATAACCAGGGCTCAAAGTGTCTCATGTGGGGTTTACAGAACACCGTGACCAACAAATGGCATCACCGTCATCCCTTGGTCCTGCCCCAGATCACCTTGAAAGGCACCCCTGCGCATGGCCACACTGTGAGAGGTGCATGGTGGGCAGGTGGGCCACACCTGTCTCCCTGGTGGGGAGGGGGGATACTCTCCCTTTAAAGAGGGTATTGGACAAGAGACTGAGTTGAATGGAAGAAGGAAAACAAAATAAGGAAAAGGAAAGGAAAAAAGGAAAAGGTATATAAAGTCAGGAATGGAGACAGGAACGACAAAAAAGAGAAGGAAGAAAAGGTTATGTGCCCATTTCCAGTTTAACTTTCTCTCTTGCTAAAGAGCCAATGTGAAGTTTGCAAATGGAATGTTATTCCTCTAAGAAATGTCTGAGCAGTCTCCATTTACTCAATGATAGCCCCTGCATTTGAGAGATAAGTGGATCTTGAAAGTTTGCTAGGAAGGAATAATTAATATTTTTAAATTCAACTTTTTCCTTAGTTTTCTACATAGCTGCTGATATTTTATTTTTATAATTAGTTAAGTTACAAATTAATATATTTTAATTGTTTAACATTTAAGCATTTTAAGCAGATAGAATAAAAATAATATATTTTTGAAAAGTTTATTTGCTCATTTCTTTCATGGGAGAGAGAGACAAGCAGTGTTCCCCACCCCACCCCCCATCAGGGTCCTCACACATGATCCACCCCCAGCCTCAGTCAGCCACAGGCATGTGTGAATGCGCCTGGCATGCATAGGGAGGTCCTGAGATGCGAACTCAGGACCTTCCTATAGGTGTCTACTCTGGCAGAGGATTGTGTGCAATCTGGCCCCAAAATTATACTGGTTTGACTGCCCATGACAAGTTCTCAATTACTGTCAGACATTTGGCAATTGCATTTCCACTGTTTCTATTCACTGGGATATAAGCCCATAACAAACATACATTTTAAAACAGAAATGACTTCACATTATATGCAAAGTGCTGTGGTTTGATTGAACCAGTCAGAGAAATATTTGCTAGTCAGAAAATTAAAATCCACCTAGTTTTTTTCTATTGTACAGTATATAGTCATATAGATCTATAAAGATGCATCAAATATTTGTATGGAAGGATATTTAAACTTTCCACTTCTTTTTACTAGTGCATAGAATGTGCAAATTAATACGTATATCTATAAGGGCATTTCTTTAAAAAAAAAAACTCAGCCAAGTGGAAGTTCTCCATCCAACTGTAGTAAATAACTTGCATAGATCTTTATTAGCTTATATTTTAGCAACCAGGACATAATGGTGTCCAGTTAATGATGTCATCAAAAAATAACGATTTTGGGGGACAAGCAGTTAGCATGATGGCTATGTCGCTGAACTCCCATGTAGTCGACCACGGTTCGCGTCCCGGACCTGGTGGCTTAAAACTCACACTGGGTGCGTGTGCGTGCATGCCCAAGATCCCGAGAGGAGAATGGAGGAGAAGGGATTGCGACGTGGCCATCCCCACTGGGGGGTGATTTCTCGCTTTCTGTCTCTCTGTCTCTGTCTGTCTAGCGAGCGCACGCGCCCTATAGCAAAAACAAAACAAAAAACAAAACAAAACAAAAAAACCTCTCCAAAAAAAAAAAGACTTTTTATATTATGATTCTCAACTCTTTCTGCAACCTGATAAGTGAAAAATGATGGAAAGAGACCTTTCCCAGGGAGTGAGCTAAGGGAATTCTGTCCTCAAGGGCTGAGATGAAGGGTGGAAGTTACAGTAATCTGGGGAAAGCAACTGCAGCTGTGCAGTAAAAGTTGGAGTTTTCCCTTTATAATATAAGCACTAAATACTATAAATTTCTTTACATACACTGACTTAGCTGCATTCTACAAATTTTGTATTTTTTATTTATTATTGAGAATGAGAAAGGGGAGGTGAAGGCACAGGGGAGGAGAAAGAAGCATCTTCTTGCAGTGCCGGGCTTGGTCCAGAGGTGGCAGTGTTGCATTTCCATCTCTGACACTTTGCAGGGGTGTGTGTGTGTGTGTGTGTGTGTGTGTGTGTTTCCTGTGGAAACATTTGAACATATAATACGGCCACGCAGATTCTTCATCTTGTGAGTCTTTGCCAACATTTTAGAAGTGAGAATTCGGTGATTTTAAGTGACAGAAGGAATGAAGATGCCCCTGGGTCTGCTCATCTTCTGGCTGTACCTGGACTGTGAGTTAGAGGGGCTGGAAATGGGAAAAGAATAAGCAGACCATGGGACCATTCTCCCTAGAGAAGAGCAAGAAAGATGGCGAGTTGTATTTGAATAGTTTCCTGGGTGTTTCTGTGAAGATGGAAAACATGCATTTAAAAGTAATTTTCAAAGAATCGCTCACCTCAACCAGTTCCCCTCCCTGTGGTTCTCTTTCTGAACAGGCGTAAGCAGTGAGCAGGAGGTGAGGCAGAGTCCTGAAGCTCTGAGTGTCCGAGAAGGTGACAACTTGGTTCTCAACTGCAGTTACACCGACAGTGCAGTATACTCCCTTCAGTGGTTCAGGCAAGATCCCGGGAAAGGTCTTACACTTCTGATCATACTTCGGTCAAATCAGAGAGATGAAAGCAGTGGAAGACTTAAAGCCTCATTGGATACATCTTCAAGACGTAGCTCTTTATACATTGCAGCATCTCAGCCTGGTGACTCAGCCACCTACCTCTGTGCTGCTGGGCACAGTGCACAGCCGGGCTGCGGGGCACAGTCCCCAGCCGGCGCCTGCATCTGCTACCTAAACCCTGGCTGAGGTCCCACCACACGTCCTGTCTGGAGGGTGGGGAACACGTTTGCATTAAGGAGCTTTCTAAGTTGACTTTTTCCAGATAGAAACAATTAAACACATAATACTTGATATACTGCTCTGAGGTTAAGAAATGAATTCTTTGCATTTTATAATTTACAAATTTCAGTTTAAATCATAGTTTTATTGAGATTATTCTCATACCATACAGTTCACTTTTTAATTTAAACTTTTAAAAAGTTCATTCATTTTTTCTCCTAAGTGAGGAAAGGAGACAGAGAACCCGATGGGGTTTAGATGTCGTGATCCAAGCCCAACACCAACTAGCCCTAGGGGATGGGACTGTGCATGTCTGGTGTAGTCAGGGGGTCTCCAAATGCAAGCCTGGAACCTTCTCAGACTTGCAGCGCATTGCATTTTACCCCTGCACCCCTGCCCAACCATTCATCTTTCTAAAGCAAATGATTAGTATCATTTAGTACATTCCCAGACCTGTACAACTACCACTTCTCTCTAGGCTCAAAATCTTTCCACACTCTAAAAGGAAATTGCTTACTAGAAAGAAGTTTCTCACTGCAACCTTTCTAAAGGAGAAGTCAATAAATGTATTGAGGAAAGTGACAAAAATGGACATAAATGAAACAGAGTCAAACTAGTTTGAGGAACTACAATGGACAGGGAAGGATAAGTTATATGAACCAAATGAACAAAGAAGGAAATGACAAGCAGGGTGGTGGACTGAAGAGCCATCTATGGGAGGGGCGGTGAGGGAGAGAAGATTAGAAGGAAGGGGATCAAATGTTTAATTTTCAATATGTCATTCAAAATTTGACACTTGTTTTGAGATTTAAGTATGCATTGAGATTATATCTGAGCCATTTAAATGGATATGTGAAATAGGCAGTTGATTATATGGGTTTATATCTCAGAACATTGATCTTATATGGAGATAAAGATTTGGAAATCACCATCTTGAGATTTTAAAAACCAGATAGAGAAGAGAAAATTCCCCATGGGAAGCACATAAAGTTTGAAGAGAAAATGATCTAGAGTCAACCTGTGAATGAACATAACATTTTGAAATCAAATAGAGGATCCAGTAACATGAACTGAGAAGGTACAGCAAGGGTGGTCAGAGAAAAACTGCAGATAAGTAAGGGAAAAAAATTGTTTTGAGGACGGAGTGGAAAAATGTAGGGAGGCTTCTTAGAGTTTCAGATCAGATGAGGACTCAAACCCATTCATTGCTTTTCACATCATAAACATCCTCTCGAGCGGTTGGGCACCCATGCAGGCATACTGGCATCAGTTTTAAGCTGCCCGGTCTGGAACTGGAACTGCAATCAACTATGTAAGAGTCCAGTGATGTAACCATTAAGCTATCTGCTGACCCCCTCATTGTGATTTTAACTGTATCTAATAGCTAATAATGCTAAACATCTCTTTTTTTTCTTATTAACTAACACTTGTTTATATTTTCTTAATTTTTTCCCTAAAGTCCCTTTTTATGTCTGCAGGACCTATAGTAACATTCCCATTTCATTTCTGATATTATAATTTAAATCTTCTTTTTGGGGGGAGTGTTTACATTGCTAGAAATTTATCAATTTTACTGATCTGTTTAACAGACAAGCTTTTTGTTACCTTGATTTTCTCTATTTTTTATTACATTTTTTTTGAGAGGTTTTCGCTATAGGGAGCGTGCGCTCGCCAGACAGACAGAGAGAGACATAGAGACAGAAAGCAAGAAATCACCCCCAAGGGGGGATGGTCACGCTGCAATCCCTTCTCCTCCATTCTCCTCTCCGGATCTTGGGCACTCACGCACACACGCCCAGCGTGAGTTTTATGCCACCGGGTCCGGGATGCGAACCGCGGTCGACTACGTGGGAGTCCAGCAACATAGCCATTACGCTAACTGCTGGTTCCCTATTTTTTATTACATTTTTAATGCCAATTGCATTTTTCAATTTCTATTTTTGTCTTTATTATTTACTTCCTTAGGGTTGTTAATTTTCTGTTCTTTTCCTAGGAGGAAAAGGAAAAGTCTCAATAAGGTGGATGCTGAGATTATTGTCTTGAGACTTTTTCTCTCTTCTTATATTTTTTAATGTTATAAATTTTCTCTGGTTGTATCCTGCAACTTTTGGTATGTTGTATTTTCATTTCATTCAGCTCAATGTATGGAAAACATATGACTGATTTCCACCAAAGCATCTCTGTGACCCATAGATTATTAATCAGTTTGTTTTAGTTTCCAAGTATATGGAGATTTTCTTGTCGTCTTTCTATTACTTGTTTGTACTGCTATTCCATGTCATACTCTTTATGATTTCAATTCTTTTATATTGAATTTGTTGAGATTTTTATGGCTCATGATATGATTTTTACTTGGTAATTGCTACATAGGAATTTGATGAAAATATATATATTCTGCTGTTGGTTGAATGAAGTCTTCTATAAATGGCTATTAGGGCCTGCCCATCAATGGTGTAGTAAAGTTTTTCCATACCGTTGTTGATTTTTTAGCTAGTTCTTCTATCAGTTGTTGAGAGATGCATGCGGAAGTCTTCAACTGTAATTCTAGATTCTAGATTCTACTTCTTTCAATTCTATCAGTTTTTGTTCCACTCATTTTTCAGCTCTGATGGAAGATTGCTATGTCTTTTTTAGTGAGTTGATCCATTTTACAATATATAATGTTTCTTTTTGTCTCTGGTAGATTTCTTTATTTAAAAACTTACTTCATCTGTATAGCCATTCCTACTTTTCTTTGTTAATATTTGATGATATACCTTTTATTTTCAACATGCCTATGTCATTATATTTGAAATTAGTTTCTTATAGACAGATAGAGTTGTTTGTTTATTTTTTAATTGTCAGAGGTGCAAGTGCTCCCCAAAGAGGGACAGAAAGACAGAGAGAGGTGGCAACAGAAAGCACCCCCCAATGGATGCAGTCACTCCATAAGCCCTTCTCCCCCGTTTATCCAACCTATTTGGACCTTGGACGCAGGGTCTATACTTTAACTGGTGTATGTAGAAATTTGTATTTGATGCAATTTACTCAGGACTTAATTTTCCATTTAATATTTTTGCTTGTTTGTTTCTCTCTCTCTCTCTCTCTCTTATTATCACAGAGCTTTTTCTCCCAACTTCTTGTGGGTTATTAGACATTGTCTAGAATTCTATTTCAATTTCTCTAGAATGCTTTGAATCTCTCTCTTTTGTATAGCTTCCTTTAGTGGTTCCTTGAGTGGCTGCCATAAATACATAATACAGTTCTCTACCAATGATGTTATTTCACTGATTTGAGTAAGATATAAAAACATTGTTTCTTTATAATCATCCTATTCATAATATAATTAACATAATGCACTGAAGTAAGAAAAAAATTTGATCATCCAGGCTAGTACTAAAGACTCAATTATCTTTCTTTTCTCGATATAAGAAATATTACAAATTTACTGTCAACACGAAGAGCTCATGAAGTATGGAGCCAAACAAATGAGCTGAACAAACCACTCTCTAAGGAAGACATATGAACAGCCAAAAATCATATGAAAAATGCTCAACATCTTTTAGCACAAGGGAGATACAAATCAAACTATAATGTGATACCACCTAACCCCAGTCAGAATGGTTAAGATTAAAAACATTTTTAAAATGGTAAGTTCTGGCAAGGCTATGGTGAAAAGGGAAATCTACACAGTTGGTGGGAATGTGAATTAGTGCATCTGCTATGGAGAGCAATATGGAGATCCCTCAAAGATCTACAAATAGAATTACCATATGATCCAGTAATTCCACTCCTGAGTATCTACCCAAAAGACAGGAAAATGCTCAGTCAGAAAAACATTCTCACATTCACATTTATTGCAGCACTATTCACAATTGCTAAGGCATGAAACTAATCCAAAGGTCCACAAACAGATAAATGGATTAAAAAGTGTGGAACATGTATGCTATGGAATATTAGCCATAAAAACAATGAGATCCTGGCATTTGATAGAAAGTGGACACATATGAAAGATTTACTGCTAATTGAAGCAAACCAGAAAATGAAAGAGAAGCATTGTATGTCTCCATTCAATACATACCAACTGTCTATACTCTATGGAAGAAACTGAAATACAAGACATATATAAGCATGGAGAGCAACTATATACACCAGAAAGAATGTAAGAGGAGGGTGGTGTGAGAGTAGGGTGGGAAATAGCAGAGGGTAAGAGGCAAGGAATCAAGGGAAAAAAAGAAAGAAGCCAAACAGTTAAGAAACACAAAATGGAAAATTATCTGTTAAAGATAATAGGTATGGTAATATCTTTGATTGGGTCAATATTCGGTGCATTCTGGGTGGGAAAATTCATTTTGTATGCTAAATGATATGCAGTGAATGAATATAAAAAAAGCATGAAGCCCAAAATATGTTAACAAAGATACTATAGAAGCATGCCAGGGAAATAAGTAATAACATATTATATAGTTCTCTTAGTGTTTTAGTATTTTTAAAAATTTGTTGTGATTTTATTTCTCATTCTAAAAAACTATTCTTTTTGCCTCTCTTTATTCATAATTTTGTTTTCTTATTCTGAAAATTTCCCACCTTGTAAGTCTCTGGTCCAACAAAGCACACCTCCTCCTCTGTATGTGATCATAAGACTTTGAAATTTAGCCCTAGAAAGGCAGGAAGGAGGCGGAGAAGGTTCACAGTTGTGACTTTCTCCTTAGTTCTCTATTTGGCCCCTGGAGGGTACTGGAGCCCGACTGGAGCTGAGGTGCAACTACCCATCTTCTGTTCCACTGTATCTCTTCTGGTACATGTAGTACCTCAACCAAGGACTCCAGCTTCTCCTGAAGTCCACGTCAGGAAGCGGACTAGTTTTGGGTATCAAAGTGTTTAAGGCTGAATTTAGGAAGAATGGAAACTCCTTCCACATGAGGAAACCCTCTGTCCATTGGAATGACTCAGCCAAGTACTTCTGTGCTCCGACTCCCATGGAACCT